TTTCCCTTAGATGAATTTAGTCTTGTCTGTGATCTCTGCATCTCTTTTTGAAGTTTTTTTTTGTGAGTCAATTGCTTACTAAACTTACTAACTTTTGTCGCTGGTACAGTTTTTTTGTTAATGGAATGAATGTTATAGAAAATACATGAGTAGAAGAGACCCATAAGCGCTTTATCACCTTTAGGTTTGGTTGAGTTAGGAAACAATGTTCGGCTTGCCTTTAGATTTACATATTCGGTGTTAAAAGAGTAAGTTTATGCATTGTATCCACTAATGAAAGCATTGAAGTCGAAGAGGCCACTTTTGGCCGTCTGATAGATTATCCTCAGAATCGGACGGATGTGAGTGGAAAAGGCTTCGCTTGCGGCAAATGCAGTAGCGTCATTGCGGTCCTAATTTCGATCTCATTCAACCCACCTGATTAACTATGAGGTAACCAATAGTAGCAACGATGTGAAAGAACTGGCAGACTTTCATGACGTTTTATGATTACCGAGTTGTGGTGGAGGCACTGGCAAAAGTGATACATAAATTGCACGATCCAAGTTCCCATTTACCACTTTTGGTGTTTAATTTACGCGAATGAATAGCTAAATTCAAAAAAAAAAATTTAAACGTAGAAGTAATGATTTCCGACTAACCTCGCAGATCATGAATTACAGACTACTTGGGTGCCAGCTTGGAGACTTACGTGGATGCGTTGGGAGAGCAAGTACGACTACTACGTCTACGTGAGCGCTCTGGTCTCATTCGGGCGCGTCTTGCGGGAGCACGGGAGGCCCGGGGCAGCACTCTGACTTTCCTTGATGCTCACTGCGAGGTAACCCTGGGCTGGCTCGAACCTCTCATTGTCCACGTCTTCAGTAATCCTCATTCTGTCGTTTGTCCTGCCATCGATGTCATCTCCGACACCACCTTCGAGTATCTCCAAAGTATGCATTCCTGCCCTCTCTCTGTCTACTTTACAGCCTTGTTTGCATTCATGCCGTGACACCCGTGTTTTTTCAGAGGGTCCTTTTAAACGTTTCTCCTCCAAAAGCCGAGCTAGCATAGTTATCATCACAAGCAGTTTCTGTTTCGTACCAATGCAACTATTATGCATTTTTACTTTGGCGTTTACAGTTCAAATCATCCTAATCTCGTAGCCATAGCGTCAGTGCCAGTCATGTAATAACTGTTTCACATTTTGCAAACTTATTTTAGTGGAAGTAATTACACTAGTTGATTTCACTCCCATCCTGTTCATTTTATGGTGAAAAAACATGCACCGAACATTTTACTAGGTGAGGTTAAGCTATCGATCAACGTTAATATTTCTAACGGCTCGTCATGGCCACATGTGGTTTTCTTTTCTCCCATTTTCGACAAGTTAAATGTATGTTAAATTTTGAATAAGTTTTGGGCATGCCTAACAAAATCATAGCTGTAGCAACTCATTGAGTCTGTTTTTAGTTATCCACACATAGTTCTGCATTGTTTGCTCCATCTGATAAATTACTCTGAGTTCTGTGATTGCTTATGCGTGAGCTCAGTGATCGTAAGAGTATTTTTGGACTATAATTAGTTTATTCTATTCCCATTTATATCCTAGGTACAGAAAGGACGTGGGGTGTGTTTAGTTGGGACCTCCTCTTTGACTGGGATGTCGTTTCTTCCCGAGAGGAAGTCAGACGTCATCACAACCCCGCTATGCCTATTCGTACGCCTGCGATGGCCGGTGGACTTTTCCTCATCAGGCGAGACTACTTCTACAGTGCAAGTAGAATTCACATCTTGTCTTGTGAAGTTTTGACTTTCGACATTCTGTTATGTTTTTACTTGTGTTCATTTTTTTGTAATTTCATGAAAAAGATCATTGAATGTATTTAATTCACTAGCCTTATTATACTACTTGGTAGTTATTCGCCCCAACATCCCGTTATCTCCAAAATCGGTTAGTTCAAATTGATTTTATAAATGGGATGGGATACCCATTCCTGCCGAATGAAACAATAAATTAAAAGTTTGGTTTAAGATTATCTTTAGTGACTTCCCTGAAGTCATCTAAAGACTTTCATTTATTAAATAATAACCGAAATAATGAGCATATTGAACATTTGTGATATTATCATCGCTTGCGTAGGAAGGAGGGTTAGACTGTGTAGACGTCGCGTCTTCATAATTGAGTTATTTTATACTCGTCGAGATCACTCGTGTCTCTCCATATCACATAGTTGGGCGCCTACGATGAGGGCATGGAGGTGTGGGGAGGTGAGAACGTAGAGATGTCTCTGCGAGTGTGGCAGTGCGGAGGCGAATTACTCATCATTCCCTGCAGTCGAGTGGGTCATGTCTTCCGCAAGGTCTCGCCATACTCATGGCCTGGCGGTGTCACTCACGTTCTCCACCGTAACCGCGTCCGCACGGCCCGCGTCTGGCTAGACGAGTTCATCGAATTGCCCTTCACCCTTGACCCCTGTTAGTCCTCCACTTCCTCGTCTATCGTCACCTTATGATCGCGTTCACAAGTGTATTTCAGAGAAGAGACGCATTCCTTAATAACTCACGCCTATCGGTATATGATTGTTACTGTTCCATGCCGAGTCTTGTTTGTTTCGTAACCAAAGAGCCTTTCATAATGCACTTACACTAGAATATATTAGGGTGCCCACAGCACCTTAACAACTTACTTCGAGAGAGGACAAGAAACAATTTGGTTGTTATTTTCAAAAATAGATGGCTTGGTCTATGTATGACTTTGTCTTGGATGGAATGATCAGACTAGTGTTTTTCTACTTGAAAAAATACTATCACTAGATGATTCCAAAATCACTTCAACTCTGTTCTGTACTGTCTGGGATGCGTCTTGGATTAACATTGCGATGTCTAGAAGTATAATGACATATGCTTAGAAAAATAGAGGCTACTAGTCAAGTCATTGGAAATGAATCTCAGGCTTTTGTTGAGTGTTCTTCAGCTGGTGGCGCGAGGTTGCGTCGGTTAATATCATAAATGTTCGATTTGCACTTATTCAGTTCGTTTGCATTTTTCTTCACGTAAAGCTCTACGCACTTTCGAATTTGGCGATGTATCGGAGAGAATTGCCCTCCGGCGGCGCCTCAAATGCAAAAGTTTCTCCTGGTACCTCCAAAACGTCTTCCCTGAATCTAACATACGACCGCGCATTGAACGGCTTGGACAGGTGAGGGCAAACCATGCCTTTTGTGTTTTGTCTGTTGGGCGCTTTGGGAGTATGTTGAGCCCTTCGGCAGGCCTTATCATACTTTACGCACGCAACATCAACCTAGTGAAATTGACCTTTAGAAAATGCTCCTGTATTATTGGAAGAGGAATGTAATGATAATATCAAGTTGTTCATACCACCTGTTTAAACTCGAATCGGTCACCATGGAAAAATAAATCATGGTTGGTGCTGTGCTTCAATGACACTCTTGATTAATATCACTACGTTGCAGATACGGAACCCGGTTCATGAACTATGCTTCGATACCGGCGGTGGGCGCAAAGGTCAAGTGATATCCGCGGCGGCTTGCCGCAGTATTAGTAGCGGCAGCAGTGCACAGCAGACCTTCACGGTCTCTACGGCAGGCGAGTTGACTGCCTCTGTGGGTTGCCTGGGTGCACAGCACATTCGTGACAACCTCATTCTAGGTCAGTGTGACGGTGACGCCGGAGCTTTCCAAAAGTTCATCTACGATGACCAAGTAGGTTGGTTCCCTTCCCCAACGCTTCAATGTTAGTGAATCTGCACCTTAGTTGTAAGCTGACCCAAAAGTTGATTTCTTGGTGCGTGATCTTAACGTCTGTGGTGTAGGCTTGGCGATCCTTTCTCTGAAACGTAAAACTGTTGTCCCAAGCGAAATCACCACTAGTTAGCACTTTGACAATCGGCATAAGCTGAATTGTCAACTTAATGGCTTTGAGTCTCTGCGCAGGGTTCCTAGGTTTTATTGGAGTCTTCACCCGGTAGGCAAAGACTTCAAAGTAAACATCGTTTACCATAACGTACCGAGCGCTCGAGGAAAATGTGGCTAGAGTTTGTGCATCTGGCGGCTACGGCGCAGAAGTGACTCCATCTTTGCTTACAGTTGCTGAGTTGTTCTCGGGCTTTGAGTGGTTATCAGTGCAGTCAGAGTAAACCGCTGGAAATAACCGATCAGAGGGGAGTGGACATGGGCATTACTCTGCCATTCAGGTATCATGTTTTAATTTAAGCATCTAGAAAGTTAACAGGAATGTATTTTCAAGGTGGTTGACATCAGTGATACATTTTGAAATTTCTCGGTCAATTGATCTGACCTTTCTCAGATCATATGGATACTACCTTCCTTTTTTTGCATATGTGAGTAAAGGGTAGCTAGTAGCGTCTGTGAGCATATATTTGTGCAAATTAGAATTGCATAATTTTCTTTACTCCATGGCTGCATCTAGACAAAGCACATCGTCCACGTCCACACAAATCTTTGCGTCCGTGTGGATACTACACGGCGGGAGCTGCCCTTGTTTCTTGGTAGGTTAATTTTTTTCCCTCTTTCTAGCAGTGACAGTGACATTCTTCAAGTAGCATAAAGTCGGTCTTATATGACGTCATGCGTTTAATAAAAAAATCTATTAAAGCTAGTGGGTACAGAAAGTGGAGTAAGAAGCCTGACAACACCGATAGTCGAGAACACAGTCAACTACGTTATTCTACCCTTGTTCACGTTTTCTACCGTACAGTTTTTATATCTAGACCATTGCGCTACAAGTGACGAGTTCATTTGGGAATTGCCGCCTCCCTTTCACAACCAGACTTTACGAATCCAGTAGAGAACCCCAGCTGGTTCACATCGTTCTCTTTTTCTCCACGAAAAGCGGCCAGCAACGAGTGTCTTTCTACAAAGGTCTTCCGAATTGTTATGAAAGTATCGCGTGCCCATTAATCGCATGTCTTATCGTTGTATTTTTATTCACATTCTCCCTGCCCTCCGTGGTCCGAAATGTGTTACCCCCAAGTGTATACCCAGGTTTTTCCCAACTATGCAGTGCTTTAATTAAAGTGCACTTATTCGCAAAATTCGAGTTGTCGCTCTTGACCCGCCATTTGGGTACAGGAGCGAAAACCACCGCCTTATAGCTGTGCAACACGCGCTCCACCTCACCCACAAGAACCTATTTCCAATCAAAACAGTTTAACAAACCTGTTTACGTGTCATTGGTCCATGCAGCTCGAAACAACCGAACCTAACAAGATTTAGAGACGCCTTCAGAGGCATCTTAGTTATCCGTACTGCACTCCACGAGCTTGAATTCCACTACTCTAAAATGAAATTCTCCCAAAACATTGCTAACTGCTGAAATAAAGCGTAGGAACCGCTGGAATTCTGCAACAAATTATAAAATTTGCTTCTAAGATCCCTCGATACCGTCGCAAACGAAGAAGCTGATCAGCATGAAGAATTGGTTTTAAATGCTTTATTACTGAAAAACCTTGTAATCAAGAATGGAGAGCAAAGTTAGTGATTCTGACTTAGCTTTGCTGGCACTCCGACTTTTCGTCGGAGGTTTTCCCAAGGTCGCCGCAGCCGCCTTTTCTGTTGCGAAAATTCTAAAATGAGGAAATACCGAAACTACTGGCCGACAGGTTCCATTTCTACAATGGGAAAAGAGAACCTACCCTTTGACGATGAACTTCGTCCTGAAAACAAATGAAATGAGTAAACGCGGAATCACGTAAAACAAACGTGTTGAATGCAGCCTCAAAAACCTTATTCTAATAGTAAAAATTTGGTCTGACTCGAGCTAACAATTTCAGCTGCTCACTAATGTTTATATTTGGAGTACGTTTTTGACGTTACTTTGGGCATGAAAAGGGGCATTAACTCTTTCAGTGCTCGAGAGGGATCCCACTCAGCGTCACTACTTAGTGCCTAAAACGTCAACTAACGTCGCTGTCATCATCGTCACCATTGTCACTATCATCGTCGGCGTCGTCTTCGTCATCGCACTCATCCTAAGGAAAGTAAAGGGGTTTATTGAATCAAAGAAACAGAGCTAGACTCGGGAGGGATAGGTCCGCTTACGTCGCTTTCAATAGCTTCACCAGTGAAAAACAAAACAGCCCGAGGAACCAACACATCTCGCATGAAGTTGGCAATGCGAAAATCCTCCTGCAGTAACTCTGCAGTATCCTCATCCAGGTCTTCATCGGTTAGAGACTCATTAGGGGGATCGAAGTAATTAAAGAAGGAATCTTGTTTCACAGTTTTCGTGATTGTGCGCACCTCTTTTCGATTCTTGTGTTTCTTCACCTTCCTCAGAAATTTTACGGTTACGTTCTTTCCAGGCTTCCATGTGATGGGAGAGGCTCGAACCCGCACAATTTGTGGGCCATCATATAACAGGGGATTTTCAGAAGGTGGTTTGTTATCGAAATAGTAGAACTTAGAGATCACATTCTCACTGAAATATTCGTTTGGCGAGAAGTAGAAATTTATGGTAAATCCCATTTCGGATTCAGCAGTATTCAAGTTAATTCGAATGTCAGTTAAGTGCTCTAAGACAGGGTAATCGTTTTCCTTAATCAATTCCGCCGTCGGAGAAGCATGAAGCATCGCTTTAAGCCAAAACTTCGGTATTCCTTCAGAACTTGAAGTATCTTCAAGCTTGGAATCTGTTGTCAACCAAAAAGCTGTTGGTTAGCTGACGCACGAGGATGACTACTTAGTACACAATGATGCACGAGAAAAAAAACGTCGCTTAAGTATTAAGAAGAGTAAGCAATCCACTTCATAAAATGTACGCCCACCCTAATAGTGCAACAATGATGCTTAATTTGATTGGGCTCCACAAAACTGACCTTCTTGTACTTCGATATGCTGCTTAGTAAGGTCCTCGGCTAATTCATCCTCCTGACAATAATCCCAAGTCGACTCCTCAGATGTGGGTTCAATCGCCCCAGAAACGATTGCTTTACGCTAGAAAGACGCAATCTCCACTGCGATAAGTAAGTACCTTATCCAAGAACTCTTCATAGCGTTCCAAGTACATTCTCTCGATTTTGAAAATTTCTTGATAAAACTGAGTCTCGATTTTTATGTATTCGTGAAGAACGTTCTTCAGCGCATTTACCCTCCTTTTGATAGGCGCCGGAAGCCTAAGAACATTAATGAAAAACGCTAGCTCTGCCTTATGTAGTCGGCAAGAAATTGCCTCTTCTCATCGCAATCAATTTCACTCGCGGAAGTGTCTTCCACCTCACTGCCATCGTCCCCAGCTGATAGTGAACATACAAAAAGCTCATATCTCACCTCCCTTAGTGTCCCTAAAACATTATCCTTAGTACATAACGTACCGATCCCCATCAACCATGACTACAGCACGACCCAAACAGCGTGCAATTAATATTTGAAGAATAACTGAGGTTTATGGTTGACTAAAAAAGCATAATTATTGCGCGTGCATTCAGGTATCGTCCAATATAATAAAATTGTTGCAGTTGAATTTTAAGCCATAGAATTGTAAGGTCTGTCGGATGGATATGTTAACCTAAATGAAATTCGGTGATTCAGATCATGCAATTTAAGTTAAAATGGAGCATTTTCAGTGAAAATTAAAGAAACCTATGACTAAATTAAAGCAAGACAGTGTTGAGTCACCCATAAGGCAACAGGCAACACTGGTCATTTGAGGAAAACTATAAGATGGATGATCTTTTATTCAAAGTTGTTGCACGCATCGAATTAAATTTTATGGGGAGGTTTTATGTTGTGCTATTTTTCTGAAAAAGAAAACGCTTGCTCCTTCATTTATAAGGCAGTTGTTTTACCTATTGGACGGCTTGGTTAAGTGAGAACCTTGAACGTTGGGTTTGTGTATTCGGTTTTGTTAGTGGTGTCGGTGATGGTTGGTGTGGTATGTTTCGTTACACCTTGTTTTTCATTTCCTTTTGATCGGTATGTCCTAATAATGGTTTTAGTTTGTGCCTTTTTATCCGAAACAGAGATTTTGTTGACTTGATCAGTCATCAAATCTGAGATTTTTTGAATGATGTGTGCATTTTCTATGCGGTACGTTATTTTGCCATGCTTTACTTCTAGTCCTGTTGTGAATCATGGCGTTGAACAACTCGATCAAAGACTTCGATCAAAGGCTTTTGCGTTCTACAACTGTCCAGGTTCGTACATCAGATGGACGTGTGTTAATTACCGATCGCAATGACAATGTTATTTCTTCTATTACAAAACCAATCAATCTTAATGATGATATATCACGATATGGTTTTATCCTCAATGCTGAACCAGATCTAGAAGTTGGAGAAGTACAGGTCCAAGGCACCACCTACTATTTTGGTACGGATTAAATTGTTTCACCCATTTTTTTTTAGGTTCTCAAGATGTTGCTGAAGACTTAAATACTCTGCAAGATAAGGGAATAACTCATATCGTTAATTTAATAAGTGACTATGCAGAAAATAAATTTGAGGACCGTTTTGAATACTTGTCTTGCACTTTGTTTGATGACATGCAGGCGGACTTGATGCCGGCTATTACTGCCTGCTGTTCCTTTATACAGGAGAAGGTTCTCCCTTCCCACGGCCGTATGTTCATCCACTGTAATGTCGGTGTCTCTCGCGCTCCTTCCGTCCTCATTGGATGCCTTATCAAACTCTATCAGATGCCCTTCGAGGTTGCTTATAGGACTGTCAATGATGCACGCAGTATCTCTCCAAATCTTAACTTTAAGTTGCAACTGCGGGCTCTCGGCGAGGAAATATCTCCGATAAGATTACCTAAATGACCCACTCCTTTCAAAAAAAAACTTGCCTGCCATCCTCTGTCTTGAATCCATAAATTTTTCTTAGTACTAGTTTAAACGTACTTGTGTATTTGGCGCTAGGAGAGCCTAGCGAAATGAGAACAATGACGTGTTAGAAATTGGTCAGTATTGTAAGTTAGGAAGGTATAAGTGAAGCAAGAAGGAAAAACAGTCATAGTATGTTGTCCGCTTGGAGGCAGTGCAGGTGAACAACATTAGAAGGAGAATGACCTAGAGTGAGGATCCAAGCGAAGGGCCGGTGAGAGCCGTAAGCGTTTAGGGGAAGATGGCAATGGGCGCAGATTGATGTCTCGGTTACAAGGAGACCGTGTGAGACGGAGGCCACTGCCTCTGTTCGTGATGCAGAAGCAAGGCGACTAACCAAACCTACCTCCATGTTAGAAGTTGACACTCGTGTCAGTGTCGATCTGATCGCACGTGTCAGGAATGTGGAAGTGGTATTATCGAGAGGCCAATCCTCGGGGAGGTTTTTGCAGATCTGCAAATTTTTGGGTCAGGTAGGTCATTCTTCTGACGGTAAATTGGTTATCAGTACAAATATGAACAATCCACTCTTCGCAGGTAATAGCTTTTCCAAGCGCTCTACCAAACGCTTCCTACGAAGACGAATAGCAATTCACTTTGGAGCGATGTTGGTGCCACTCACAACTTACCTCCGCAAAATCGAGGTTTGGAATATCCTCCTTCAACAGTTTTTTTAATTCCCCGGATAGGAGCTTGTCCGAGCTGAAGGCAACCAAAGATAGAACGCTAATTAGCAATGCAGAACTAACTCCGATAAAGGTCCATTTAAAACTGGATTCGTTTGCGAAGGTGGTGACAAACGTGAGCCACTAGCGTAGGATATGAAACTCTAAGTACCATTACCATTAAAAGTGATTGACTAATGAAGTAAGTCCTAATCTGTAAGTAAACTGACCTGCAGATAAGGAGTTTCACTAGAACGGTATATACGTGCGGAGTCGGTGGATGAAAGGAGATCTTAGAAGCATTGGTACTTTTGTGACACCAAAGAGCACTTTGCTCGGCTACCTTCTCCCGTGCCTCTAATTTAGCACACCATGAGCAAAATCGCAGACAAGCATTGAGATCACGCTTTTCCAGCAAAAGAAACTTCAATGCTTCACTGTATTTCTTAAGCTGCAGAAAAACACAAGTGATCGCCCAATAGATAAATTACAAAATCTGAGACAAGTGCCTTTGAGTAAAGACCATGGCAAAATAAAAATTGGATTTTATGTTCAACAAAAAAAAGCGACTGTAATGTGCCAGCAAACACATTTACTTTGCCCAAAAGAGTAACGTATTCCTCTGTGAAGTGGAAGGCCAAAGGCGATGACTTTAAAGTATCCAGAAGTTTGTCCGTTTGACAGTCATCTAACTGAGAAAGAGTCCATTGGAAGCGGCGTCTTAAAAAAACGAACAAAAGCCACACGCCTAACAAAACGTCATCAGAGTTGAGAAGCATTAGAATTCCTAAATCGGAATCGTATTTACTTTTGTCTAAAGTATTCAGCACAGTCACTTGCTCAAGCTCACCAATCAATAATGAGTGCTCCATCTTTACCTTTGTTTCTCAAGGTGTTCGACATCGTTGGCTTCGGCATACTTGAGAAGGAGTTCCATCTGCAACTCAGCGAGGAGTGTATGCCTTGAAGGCTCCTTTATAGAGTTTAAAAACAAAATTCGACGTATCACTACACAATTTGAGTAGGAAAAGAAGTCATTTAATAAAAAATGGAATGATTTACCTAATGGAAAGCAGAGCACGAAAATAACGTGGCTATTCTGCAGAAATTGCGAAACAGAAAGTCAATTTTACTACATTAGCAGCCCATGAATCTACGACTCCATCACCTTCATTTACATAAGCTAGAGTAGAATTTTCTTTGAGAGAAAAGTAATAAAGCTTAACTACATCAGTTCCGATAATGCCGGGATGCCACAACTAGTCAAGTTCACAAAGGGTCTAGGACCAGAAGGCGCTTTTACCTTATCACCAGCTTTGAAGATCCGACACCAAAGGTAGTTTTCCGCTAAACTGGGGTGTCGCGGGAGGAGACACTTGAGAAGACTGGTGGGCGCGAATACGAAAGTGGGGCCCTTATCATTGGTAGTGGTAGCGGAGACACCAGCATCAATCCACTCAGTGATACAGGCAAGGCGTTGCAACAGACCATTCGCCAGATCCAAAGCGAGCTCCCCATCAACATATAGGAGATCCTGTAGGTGACGCGCAACAAGTTCTGCATACACAGTGCTGCCTATTAAGGCAGGTTCAGTGACAACACCCTCTGATACCGTGTGGTAGTGAGGAAAAGAGGAGACGCCATTGTTATACGCGTCTGGCGATGTCAAAGTACTAGGAACGTTAACAATATCAATGGTGAAAGAAAGACAAGAATTCATATTTGTCACTTAAGAATGCCTTTTTGGATCTGCATTGCTGTACAATATATTATAGACACCGTGGAACAAGACTAAACTATGAAGAAAAAACTCCATTGAGAGGAGATAGCCGCAGTACGTCTGAAGAAAATAGTGATAGTTTGGGAGAATATCAGTGTAAAATTGAAGGTCAGAATTTGATTGGCAATCCACAAAAATTGCCTTACAAAAAGAAATTCGATGAACAAATGCCACATACCAACCTTATGCATTGCAAATTGCATGCAGTAATTAAAAAGCGGCTTATGCAAAAGGGCAGAAACTACATATGCAGGTCAAGGCCGAAATTCACTTACGTGAACAGCGCATCCGTAAAAAACCCTGGACCAGGGAAATTTGCGTCAGTCGTGGTCTCAAGTGCTAGACTTAAATAATGGAACAGTTTAAAAAAGAATCAGTTAAGAGTACTGTAGATACAAACTTGCTGAAAAAAGGCGATCATGTAAGACGCTAACTACGTTCAACACCTATCACTTGTTTAATGAACTTCCATAATCCAAAGTCAAAATGGGTGTAAGTGGTTGCTAAGATCGATCAGTCTAGAGGAGGAAACAGGCCTTGCGATGAAGCGAGGGGAACTTAGCAAAGGCAGTAGTTACTAGGATTGCCGAAATTAATGAAAGGTGGCATGAGAGCAAACAGAGATCGATTACCTCCTCCAAATATCAAGAGCTGCCTCAACGTTGCCATTCCATCGGTACAACAATGCCTTGACATGATGTTCACAATGCTCTTCGAGAAAGAGCAAGAGGTCTACGACATCAACGTTCGACAAGGAACTAACCAACTCCTCCCAACTCGCATAGCCCAAATCGCGGATACAGGAACCATTTTCGACTAACTGCACACAGAGTTTTAGAATTGCAGCCTCAACAACCTACAAATTCAACAAAGAAAAGCCTAGAATAAGGAAGAAAAGATTACATAGGTTAGTGGTGAGAGATGGTGAAGCCATGGCAAGGGCAGCGTGTGGAGAAAGACTGAGTACGCAGTAGCCCGAGGGTAAATTATTGGTTCAGAGCCTCAACGTTTTCCGGTTACAATGGAGCCCCAGTCACCCACACTAGTCACACATGATATAAAAGTTCGGCTTCCAGGAAAATCAATAAATACGAAGTACCAGTAAGGCGACACTTTGACCTGACATACATATTTAGTCAATGGGAGGGAATGACTCAATCATTAAATTGGCTCGAACCGAACATAGGGATAGGGAGAGGTGGACAGAATGCCCTTCTAGTTCTCGTGATCTGCCCACAAATCTGCTTTCTGGTTACAAGATGCAGTGGGCATTGAATCGACCATTGCGGTTAATCTCTAGTTTTCAGTTCATATATGTTAATGCGTACAAGCTTGCCACACAAAGTCTTACATTTCGCCAGTTGATTCGAGAAATTGACGAGCCACAAAAGAAGCAGCGAAGTCGACAAAGTCAACACCGCCATCAAAGTGAGCACTCGAAAGAACATCCATTGCTCATTGACTGCCATCGTAGCATTGACGTAAATGATTTGGCTTTCGCCATTCACTTTTGCCACTTAGGACAGTGCCAAATATCCGCTACCATCATGATTGAACGATCCCAAACTACACCAACAAAACAGATGGATGAAAAATCGACCGAAAAAGACCCGCCAGATACTACGAATGCAGTACTTCTGAGCACTGCACAGCTCCATCTAACAACGACAATGGCGGAATGTAGTCTAACGTGTGGCTTGCGGGTAGCAAATACTTATGAAATTGAAAGTCTTCACAGATACTGCATCACATATCTGGAAGCAAATCTGAATGTGAAAAGCTGTTGGGTCCTCTGGGAGGCCATATTCGCAGTTCCCAACTCTCCCACAGACACTAATATACGCCAGATTGACGAAAAAGCAGGCCACATATTGATCAATTTCATGCACGAAAATTTTCGTAAACTCACATTAAGCCCACTTGCAAAGGGTTTTGAGCACTTTAGTGCCGCCGAACTCGAACTACTTCTTGCCTCGGACAGGTTAAATGTCCGCTCTGAATCAGAGGTAGTAGATGTGATTGAGGCATGGATCAGTGTACAGTCGGAGAACTCGGACACATTGTTCCGACTTACTCCACGCCTAATAGAACGTTGTGTTAGAATTGATCAGCTAGAAGTAGGTGAAATCAACCGTTTATTGAAACTTCCAGGGATGCAAATGAAGAGGAATCATCGAGCAACTCGACCTGCCAATAGTTTCGCGCAAGAGTCATTAATTCCCGATTCCAATTCCTCTCACAACCATGAAGTAAGAAACAGATGTGTTTGGAGACTTCAACAATTACGTCGACGCCTGCTTCGGGCAACACGAAATCTCAGATCTTTATCAATCAGATTAGGAGACCAAGATAAAGGGAGAATTGAAGACTGGCCTACATTAGGCCCTAGAGCACCGTATGAGGCAATAATTGTATTCGGAGGATGGGAGAACGGTCAACCATGTAGAAATGTCAGAGTATTAGATTCACGACGAAAAAAGTGGAAAACATACAAAAACGAGTCGGAATCGAGTCTTGTGTTGCCACATCCACTCATGAGTTTTGGAATTGCAAATGTGGATAACAGAATGATCTACATCGCTGGAGGAGAAAGTAAAAGTGGTCACGCTACTCAAGAGGTGCTTCGATACGAAATTAAGAGCAGCAATGGCAATCGCAGCTGGAAAGGCTGCGCGCCAATGCACGATGTTCGTAGAGACTTAATTCTAGTCAATCTGAAAGATAAAACGCTATATGCGATTGGAGGTGATAATAACCGCACAGTCCTTGACTCTGTAGAAGCCTATGCATTAGAGAAGAGTCAGTCAAATGGCTGGATAGAAGTTGCAAGCATGCTAATTCCTCGGGGAGCTCCAGCCGGTGATGCAGTCGATTCGCAAATATATGTTTGCGGTGGGTATACAGAGAGTAGGATGGAGTCTCTAACCAACAGTTGCGAGACCTATAACCCACAGACTAATCAGTGGACGATGATACAACCAATGACACAACCTCGTTACTATGCCAGCGCAGTTTGCTACCAAGACCACCTGTACGTTCTCGGTGGGGGGGGAGATAACTCGACCAGAATGACAACACCGGTCGTAGCATTGGGTTACAGCAGCACTGTGGAAAGATATGCCCCCGGAGAGGGTGTGTGGGAGTTGATGCCAGCCATAGCCGAAAGAGCTGATTTCGCTGCTTGTGTACATGAGGACAAAATATTTTGCATAGGCGGTGGAGGCGAAGCCTTCTGTACAGCAGATATAGAGTATTGGCGCCCGTGGGTAGGAAGAGTTCAAAGAGGCAATAGCGACAATAACTCCCAGCACCCAATAAATGAGGACACCCCGGGACCCAGTTCCACCAACACACCCATCTGGATGCCCCTGAGTGAGAGCGACAGGCCACAGTTACCCACAAGGCCCCTTGATGGTTGGCAAAAAGGAGCTCAACTGCCACTTCCCCTATGGGGTCATCGATGTGTGTCTATTAGCGGGGTGGACAAAGTCATCGACCTTTTATCAGAGGAAACGAATCCAAATTTAAACATGACAGTCTCTAACGGAGCGCCAAAAAATGCAGAGTTTCGTCAATGGAAAGTGAAGGGAAGCGCATCGAATGCGATTCTCGCCATAGTAGATGTAAACGAGATGGGAGCCGAAAATACGGAAGAAAGAGTTAAAGATAGAGACGAGAAGAAAGAAAAAATAGAAGTTCGGGTCGGAAAAAGGACCATGTTGGTTGACTATTAAGCTAGAAAAGAGGATGCCACAATAACCGCAGAATCATCGAGGTGATTATATGCAAGGACTGTTTCAGGAATGACAGCGGTCACCAATATTGGTGAGTGCTATTTGGTCATGCAGAGTTCATAAAATATGCTAAATATGGTTAAAACTGGATGCTTGAATAAAGGACAATCATAAGTCTGCAGAATTTGTATGGACGTCTTTAAAAACAGTAGATTTAAAAAAGGCCAGGTTCCAAATGAACCAAACATCAAAACAAGAAAAATAATACTAAACAGGACAGGTCTACTGATTCACAAATAAAAGACACGTTGGAAATACTATTACTGCTACTGCATTTAAGAAGGCTAAGGCGAGGAGTGCGCCGTTAACACAAGCTAAGAGCAGCAAACACTTATATAAGTTTAACAACGTTCCAAATCGCCGAAGTTCTTCCATTTCAAGGTGCATAACTTATGGCATTATAAAGAACGTCAATCAATAATCCGTCTTTTCATTCATTCACAGTCAAATGTTAAAAATAATCCCATGCTTGAGATTAGGTCACAACTACACTAGCAGATCAGTGTAGTGCGGAGAACCGGATAATTGGGATCCAGAACACACTTAAAGGGTTACTAACTTCAACTGGCATGACCATATTGATGATTAAAAATAAGACCTAGTCGTAATATAAAGCCATATCCTAGTTGGAGAAATAAGAGTACCAAAGGGAGGGCGTGCAGGTGCTTACCTGGATGTGTTTGCAAAAGATTTTTCCACGACGATTTTCAAGTAGAAAATCCAGGAGGAATTTTCGGAATTTGTTGACAGAAATGCCCAAAATTTCGCTCAAATCGAAGATGTTGCGCGGTAGTCCACCGCCCGATGTGTCTGTGACCGCTTTGTCAAGTGCTGTCATGTTCAAATTCGGATCAGCAGAATAATCATAGTTACGGGGGAGCAAATCCACATAACGGCACAGCAACTAGGTGAATTTTACTTTTGGCTCAAAAGGAAATACCTCTCTGATATCCAGAGAAGATTTTTCAAAATATCCCCTTGATTGAGTTAGTTGACCCATTTCAAATAAGTAGAAACCCATCAAGGTATAAACCCGCCTTGATCGCTAGATTAAGAAAAAAATGAATGAAGAGCAGCAGCATACCGCATTGAATATATTTTTTGCTCCGCTACTGGTAGCAGGACGGTGGTTGCACAAATCAACCAATTTTGCGTATTCTTTGTGGATAAGATCAGAGACGTCGGAAAGGCAGCCAGCTAGAATAAGTCGCTTAGCCTCAAGGTCCCAAGTTTCTGGTCGGACGACACGAATACGTGGGCCGCTGGCTGCATCATGCGATACCACAAAGATCATGCTTCGGTTTAAAGAAATGCACGCGGCACAAACGTTCTCCACAACCAACGTCTGAATCTGCTTTTGCTGGTTAATACTAAGGATTTGTGTTAGGGACTAGAAATTGTACCAGTGTATAGAGACGAATTCATCATCAACCGCAAAGATTAGCTGTTTGCGCGCAAACAAAGCAGATAGATTTGTAGATAATGTCAGAGGTGGGCGACCGGATTGTCCATCGGTGCCGACAAAAACTCCTAATGAACCTGGACCCGAAAGCAAAAATTCATCCTGCCATATTGCAAAGAAAGCTTATGCATATACCTTGGACACAGACTCTATCAGTGGCTGAACACGACTACCACTACGATCAAATATATCATTATATGTTTTTGTTTTAAGATTAACGCCCAAATATTTGGTATGGGTCGCGATAATCGCATAGCTATCGAGACACCTCTAGAAGTAAAGGATAAAACAAAACGACCAAGGAAGCCTACCACCGCAAGTGCCAAAGACGGGAGGTTGACAGTATTCACCAAGTCCAAACGTGACTTTAGAACTCTATAGACATGAAGAATATGGTTCTCGTTGCAGACAGCAAGCTATATGGATAAATTAATACAACAAGAGGTACGATCGAATGTCGCTCAGTCGAGAGGTTGCTATCAACAATGGAAAAAGTGGAGACTCCATCCATTGTCGACCGCAAGTTTGAACACTCCAACTTCTCAGCATCAAAAAACCGCAACTTTTTGTCCGACAAGGCAACAATAAGTTCAGCGTACTGAGAAGCTTGCAGTAGAATTATGGCACTTTCCTAGTAAATACTAACATATTCAACCGATAACCTACAACTATTTGGCGCGAAAATACAACACTGAACGAATAACAAGTCTTCTGATCTTCTACTTCTTCAAACACCAGTTGCATAATACATCTAAAATTTGAATGAAAATCGAGCAAAATCCGCATTTCAAAAGTAAAATAAGTACAACCTTAAACTCAAAGTTGTTGCAGATATGTGCTATCGGGAAAGAATACAATCAAAGTTGCGTCCCCAAGTAGATAAAAGCAGACTTAAAGAATCTGACTCGACAAAAGAATTCAAACAAGAAAAATAAACCTCAGGAGAGTAGACAGAGACACAGTGTCTTATCAGTGCAAAGCCATAGAATACTATCCTAGCATAATTTTACATGTAGGAGATTATGGTTTCCATAAGTAGATAGAACATGCAAAACATGGCGGGTACCCTTCACGAGTGCCTAGAAAAACCAAATTCCCAAAAGAGCAAATAGTGCATATCCTAAGTGCCCTGCTTCGGAACAGCGTCGTATCATCGGCCTGATCATAAATGGCGAAATTCGGACCATTCATTTGACAAAGGTGGCGGTCAATCAACAATTTACGGACCTTACAAGGTCATTGGCCAAGTTTGCAGACGCCTTTTATCACAAATATTTGTGCAGGGAGCATGCCTGAGCAAAGTGAAACAAGAAACTCAGGAATGCCTTATATGAATTTAGAGACTTCGCATTTCCTCGGCGGTTACAGATATTGCTCTCCGTAAAAAAACATCTTTATTTCGATGAATTGATTAAAGCTGTGACACATTTCAATCTGTAGTGCGTAAATTGGAGGATTACTTTGAGCTACTGCTTTGTTTGGCTAGAAGATGTCATAGGACGGTCTCATTTCGCAGCTTGTGGGCATATTAAATGGTGGAGCACCTCTTGATATGAAATTTGTAGACCCATTTTTTAAAGTAGCGGGTCCAGATGCAATTCCACCCTTCCGCTATTTTGACTTATCACTTGCATTGAGGGTGCTGAGATGTTGTGCGTAAATTGTAGATTTCGAACTTCTCCATTAGTTCAGCAAAAGTGGATCCTAAAAATCAGGACCCTGCACGCTGTGGCCAGTTTTGAATACACTGTGGTGGCAGAACCACATTGATTACTTCCTCTTTGTGGTAAAAGTAGACCCATAAATGCCTGAACCCACCTTTTTCTAAGGCCTAATGTAAGGTGAGTTTCCTCGATACTCCTGCCAGTGATACAGGTTTCACAGAAGTCTTGAGGCTTGTACTACCTTTTGCCACCCATGTGGTCCAGTTACTGCTGTCAATCTTAGTGAAACATTCGCATTAATTGCGGCGTCCCGAGACTTCCTGGCCGATATAAGTAGTCAGTAAGTGCGGTTGGATACATGTATTATGAAGACGATAGAACAAATGGGCCTGGGCATGGTCCGAAGGCCATCCCATGTGTACATTAACGACCAGATGCCCAAATTCACCTGGGTATCCTGCTGAGCATGTTTAACTTTTCATTAAGAGGATACCGAATATCTATCGCATATCAGATCTACACTCGGTATGACTCGCCAATGATGTCTAGTAGGTTCATACATAAGTAGGCCACAAGTCACACGCCATCCTTAATACTGGTTCGGTCCATTTTTCTCACTGCTTTAAACCAAGTAAGCGCATAATGACCTATTTGTACTATGACCTGCCTCGATAGGAGGTATGAGTTGTTTAACTGCACCTGGTCTAATCATAACGCTGTTCTGGAAGAGAAGACTGACTCACCCCTGGGGAAAGAATGAACATTTTCACCTTCCTTTATGCCTTGCACCAGCGTGATCACTAAATAGGAATTGAACGATAGTGACGCCGAAGCCACACTTGAACTGTTCAACCATTCAGTAAATACTAACCAACCCTAATCTGTTGCACTGCTTTTGCCCCACCTTTGCTGAGTCTGGTGTACTAATGTCTAGTTTAGTTCTTCAACATCTTGTCCGTGCAGTTTATTGCAATCTTAATGAAAGCGTTGGAAAAACGCTTGTGATAGTTAAGGGAACACTGTCCAGATGATTGATTTTGACCAAATTTACACTTTTCTGTGCGATCTTCAGTAATCGCCAATTTTTACTTGCTGAGACCATGAGTTTCATGAAGATGACTACGCTTCTAGGGATTCGAAGACATATGCCTTAGTCACCGTGTTCAGTCTTCTGTGTTGGTCGGGTGACACGGATGGTTTTGTGAACTTGTGTAAGACAATCTTTTCAGTTAGATAATTTAGCGTCTCGAGACTTCCTAGCCGGTATAAGAAGTCAGTAAGTGTAGCTGGGTATATGTATTCTAAAGACGACAGGGCAAATAGGCCTGAATATGGCCCGAAGACCAGCCCACGTGTACGAGGACCAGACAAACCTTAAAGTGGCCGCCGAACGTCAGGTAGTCACATAAACAAAGCATTACGGGTTCAGTATTAATTTGACTGGGAATCAAGCACGAGGAGAAAGATGGCTCACTGGGTCTTGAGACAGAGCGCAGGGGAGGGAGGGGTCATCAATGAGTAATAGATTTTAGTTACCTGCTAAAAGCGTGGAAGAACGATGCCAGACAAAATTTCTTGCTGTTTTGTCAGTCTCGAAAGGTGTGTTCTGTTAGGTGGTTTTGCGGTCGTGTTTCCTATTGGCCTCTCCTAGTTTTTAGTATTGATGGAAAAACTCCTGCTATGAGTCTGGTCCATTACTTCGCGATTTTGACCAACATCAGCGTCATAGGAGGTCATAGGCGAACAAATCATGCAGAATGGTGAGGAGAACAAATGGGATTCCTTGTAACGTGATGTTGGTGATGCTGTCGGCAGTGTTTCTGGCTTGTAGACAAGATCCCATCTTCATTGATGCTGCAATTTTACTCCTGTCCACTGCTTGACCTTTATTAAACATGATTGCAATGCTTTGGTTGACTTCCAATTTCTATTACAGCCACCTGGAATGCCATATCGTCATGCTGATGTGATCTGAGGGCCAAGACACGTCAACAGCCCGAATCCCTTTCTAGTTGCAATATATACGCATTATGCTCTCAATATTATGGCCATATTCGTAGCTGTGGATTGAGAAATCCAGCTTCTCATAATCATGCTTGTAGACGGATCCCACTTTGTTAGAGAACACACTAAGATGACGTTTAGCTTGAAATTGGTAACTATAATTTCATAGGCGAGTAGGATTTTTTTACAAGTTGCCTTTATCGACTCCTCACTCGATGCTGCCTTCGAAAGTTTCTTAGTTACATTATGTAACTGCCTTCGTGACTGACGGGCTAACAACGTTAGCTTAGAATCAAGTTCAAACGAATTCAGTCACTAATGGCATTTCAAGCAGCAAGGCTAACTCTATCCGTTGTTTATTCAATAACCAAAGTAAATTCGTGAACAAAACAGCATGTTCAACCAAAAGGGTGACTTTGAGGGATTATAGTTAGCCTATATGACATGCATATTGCTTTAGCTGTGGCACCATTATTTCATAATGAAACCCTGGAACACCACGCAGAGATGCATAAATTATTCCATCGTCATAGAAACAACCAGAGCCTATGATGGAGACGAATAAAAGGACTGCGAATCGCATTGGCTTGAACGTGCAAAATGGACAATCTCGGAACGGCATCACCTCTCAGTATTGCAGATAAGTGGGACATTACATTCCACCCGAACAGCAGCCAGATTGCGAGACGTTGCAAACAGGCCAACGAATGTGCAAGTAAACAGCTCAGCGTAGACATGGAAAAGTTGACTTTGGAAGAACAGAAAGCTTGTCAACGCGTAGAGAAAGAGCAGGATCTGTTATGTCAAGAATTCCTCGGAGCCAAGGACCACTGTGAAGACGGAAGAAAGCTTTCGGACACTTCCAAGCCTCGCTACGCCAAGCGCGTGCAGCGCTCGAAGACCGTGGATTTCAGACAAGTCTACTCACCACCACGTGTGGGTATTAAAGGAGGCAGTTTTACCCTCGACGAATTCTCACCAGGCATTCAAAGGACAACATCATTTAAAACGATTGGAAGAGGTAGCATTTCATCAACTAGCCAAAGCTCACTTCGTTCCATTTCTTCTATCTCAAGTGAGCAGCAGCAGCTGCAGCAGCATCAGACATTGGACCAAGGAGAGGACAGAGGGAGTCGACGAAAATCCCATGAAGAGGTACAACCAGATTGGCAGATAGCTCTGGCATTGAAGCGAAGGCAGAAACTATCTCAACTGCAGATGTTCCGTGAGATGGGACATTGGGGTGAAGATGGATGTCAGAAGGCAACAGCAATGCTTACAGGATGTCCTTTCAATCCAATTTCACCTGGCTCCACCGCCTTATCCTACGTTGGTAAAGTGGTTGCGAATGAAGATACCGACACCCACTGATACATCTTGATTGTTACCTACTTCACGGATTTGCCAACAACTTGCCAACAAACTCTAATGTTTTAGCATTAGTGCTTGGTATGACCAACCGTACTACTACCAATACTAGTTTAAGATTCCTGACATTTTTAAATATAGAATACTTTATCCTACTCAAACTCTTCAATAACGACGGTGTAAGGCTCCGAAATCCCATACCACTCGCGAAAATAGGAAAACCTGCTCCGATTTGCTGTTAAGACATTATTATTGTACTGATGGCATTAATTGTTGTGTTCAACATCAGTGCTACAAGCCCATGACGCACATTCATGGTGAGGGACTACACTAATTAACAAAGCAGCTAGCACAGTTAGTTGACAACGAAAGACCAGAAAGCCAGAGGTGTTCTCAACCTAATGTTAGCTACGGCGGATTGGAGTTAAGAGAGTCTGACAACGAAGGTTCGAAAG